GGAAGGAAGAGGAAGGAAGAGGAAGGAAGAGGAAGGAAGAGGAAGGATTCTTTTAATACTCTGCAAAAAATAAAATGGAAAACAGCACATAACATTTTAGAAGGAATCAATTTGTGTATGGTTTGTAAAATGGACCTGGAATTTATCAGATATATGTCAATTGTTACTTCATTTTGAAATTTGGCTGAATGTTAAGACGCACCATCTGATCTAGCAGCAGTTGATACTTACTAACTAGTGAAAGGACCACAACAACTAAATCAAATATGTTCCAGCCAATGGTGAAGAAGTAATGTCTCAAGGCTATTATTTTTATGACGCATTCCCCAGTAAATACTGCCACAAAGAAGTAGTTGATCCTTTTAAGAACATCCCTGACATCTTCCTTGTCACTTTCTGCCATCATCACAACCATATTTAGGCAGATGAGAGTCACCACACTAATGTCAAATGCTTTGTGTGACACTATATCAAAGAAAAATCCTTGAAATGCATTCTGTGGAGAGAGAGAGAATGGATTCATGTTACTTCTAAGACTCAGGCAACACTTAAGTATTAAACAGTAATTTTTGGTTCGAATTTAAGACAATAAAAAATTAACAATATGGTGCTAGAAGCATTTTAGGGGATTTCTTTGGACATTTTAAGATAACACTCAGTACGTGGCCAAGTATTCTCAGGTATCATGCAACTACATTTCCTTAGAAAAAAACTACACAAAAGGAAAACTCTGTGCATAGGAATAATTATTGAAGCAGACATTTTAGTATAAGCAGAGTTGTGGGCTGATGATGGGCTCCAACTTGTAAGTTTAGTTCCAGATGCCCTGCTGCACGATTTAAACTGGACACCATCTTTATATTTTCTACCATGCTCCATTTTAAATGGTCTCACCAATGGTCTTGGGATGGGTTTTTGAGGTTTCTTGGATCCGAGTTTTTTTAGGGCATTATAGTACTTTTTCTGTTCCTCAGTCAAAAAGAGATCTTTTCCACCTAAGTAGAGGGAAAGAATACTGTTACTTGAAGCTTAGGCACTTGACTAAATAAACACCAGCAAGTTTATGTTGAAAACAAACAATGACAACAAAAATAACACAAAAAAAAATCTGAATTCTGAAACTCTTTCAGTATTTCTCCTTTTCTTTGAAAAGGGGTGCTGAAAAAAATGATCAGAGCTTGGTGAAAATCAATTCTGATCAGTATTCCTGAGTTAGATTCCTCAGCTGGGAGAGCCCTTCTGAAGTTCTGAGGAACCTATTTCATATTTTAACCACAACAGAAGAACTCATCAATAAAATGCTTTTCATTTATATTTTTGGGAAAGGCCAGAGAAGAAGTGCATGGCTGAGTTACCAAGGAAGATAAAGCACTTTGGGACTGAATTCTGTGGGATTCTCTTTACCACAAATTTCTGGTACTGTTCTATTTACTGCCTATGCCATCTGTATTACTTAGCAATTATCCAGGAGAAGCCATCACAGAATCACTGAATGATTAGCATTTCGTAAAACCAGCATGTAACAACATCTCCTAGGGCATCTAAGCTCCCAATCGCTCTAGCAAGAGCTAGATTTACATTTATTTACATTTATTACAGTCTATCACAATGAAAACCCCCCAAAAGGAGAAAAGAAATGAAAAAAAAAAATACACACTTAGATCATGTACTCAGAAAAAAGTGTTAAATCCACATCAAACTCCAGAAAGAGTTCGGGCTCATCAGTTGCTTAACTAACATTACTGCTGTCAGCTGGGATCATGCCTGGTACTTTGTTGTAAAAGGGAATTATGACCGTGAAATTGGACAGTTGCCCCTCATACATATCTCTTCTCTGACCAGATGCAGAAAGACAACAAATTTCTTGTGTGCCTTTTTATCTTCTACCCAAAGCAGCAGTGCTTTGTTGCTTGGAGTAAAAGTCAGCCTGTGGAAATGATGAAAAATTCAGCCTATGGAAATAATGAAATTGCTCCTGTGGAGACTGTCTTTCATATGCGTACCTTGAAATTGCAAACCTCCTGTCAGTCTGCCAACAAAAATGCTTACTTGTTTTATTATAAGACTCCCCAGTGGATTCATGGACTCAATTACCCATATTATTATGGATATATTAAGCTCCTAAATGAATCAGGGACAGAACTCAATCAACAAATAAGCTTGATAATAAATAAGGTTCCAGATGCTAAAGTTTACCAGGGAAGGCTAACTGTTGCTTTTCACTTCCTTTGTTTTTCAAGATTTTTCCTTCAGCTTCTGACTTAATAAAAATTTTCAATAATCCAGTACAATATGGAGAGGAAGCAGTCCTCCTGGGCTTTAAGAAGCCTTTACATGGTTATCTGTCTTTTTCCGGGGGTTTGGATCTGACTACAGAATTCTTTTTTTTTTTTTTAACTTAATAAATTAATTTGTAGAGTAATTTACTGAAGACTAGATTTTTTTATTTTTATTTTTTTAACAAAGCTAGTTTTAGAAAAAGTTCTGATTAACAAGGACTTTCCAAGTTTCTTCACCAGGAAAACAGCTGCCACTTCTGCCATCAGTATTTGTGGGGTTTAATCATCCTTACCATGTTTGTTAGGTGTTTCCACTCAGCAAAAAGGGTTGTTCTGTTGTCCACAGAAAGTCTTTAGAGCACAATCATAGAATGATTTGGGTTGGAAGGGGCATTTAAGATCATCTAGTTTCAACCCCCCAGCTATAGGCAGGGACACCTCCCTGTAGAAGATTGCTCACAGCCCCATCCAGCCTGGCCTTGAATGCTTCCAGGGAAGAGACACAACCTCACTGGGCAACGTGTTCAGCCTCTCACCACCACCACAGTAATGAACGTCTTCCTGATATGTAGTCTAAACCTACCTTCTTCCAGTTTAAAACTATTTCCCCTCATCTTGTCACTGAATGCCCTTATAAAAAGTCCCTCCCAGGTTTCCTGTAGGCCCTCTTCAGGTACTTGAAGGCCTCTATGAAGTCTCCTTGGAGCCTCTTCTTCTCCTGCCCCATAGGGGAAGAGAGTCCCAGCTCTCTCAGCCAGCCCCATAGGGGAAGTCCACTGGACCTGTTCCAACAGCTCCATGTCCTTCTTGTGTTGGGGGTTCCAGAACTGGGCACAGTACTCCAGGTGGGGTCTCAAAGCAGAGTATAGGGTCAGAATCACCTCCCTCGACCTGCTGGTCACATTTCTTGACACTTCTCTTGATGCAACCCAGGATATGGTTGGCCTTCTGGGCTGCAACACACAGTGCAGGCTCATGTCAAATCTTTCATCAAGTGATACTCCCAAATCCTTCTTCTCAGGGCTGTTCTTAAGCCATTCTCTTCCCAATCTGTCTCTGTGCTTGAGATTGCACTGACCCCGGTGCCAGGTCCCTTTGGATAGCACCTCTTCCCTGTAGCGTGTCAACTGTACCACTCATCTTGGTGTCATCTGCAAACTTGCTAAGGATTCACTCGATCCTACTGTCCATGTCACCTACAAAGATGTTAAGTAAGACCAATCCTGATTGGTCCCTGAGGAATGCCACTCGTCACCAGTCTCCACTTGGAAACTGAGCTGTTGATCACAACTCTCTGAGTGCAACCATCCACCCAATTCCTTATCCAGTGAGTGGTCCATCCATCAGATCCATTTTTCTGCAATTTGATGACCTGGGTGTCATGCAGGACAATGTCAAATGCTTTGCACAAGTCCAGGTAGGTTACATCACGTTCTCTTTCTTTATCCTCTGATGCTGTAGCTCCACCATAAAAGGCCACCAAGCCTTTTATTCACCAAGCCTTAGATCTCTATGAGTAGTTACCTGAAATCTGTATAAATCTACATGCCAAACTGGCACAGACTCAATCAAATTGGGATTACAAGAGACATGAATTATTTATTTCATACAGTACTTATCTTTTTCCTTTGTTGGTTAAAGTTGCTGATTACCACTCCAATGAAGAGATTCAGCATGAAGAAAGATCCAAAAATAATGAAAATCACAAAGTAAAAATACATAGGAAAGAATGCCTCAAATTCTGGCTGTTGATCAACCTGTTACCAAAAAAAAAAAAAAAAAAAAAAAAAAGGAAAAAATATTAGTAAAAATTAGATAATAACAGCTTTGTTATTTCCAATCTATAATAACTATTTTTTTATTGTAACACTTTTTTTTTGTATTTAAACATTTACATGTGGAACAAGTCTTGTTCTGTCTTGTAGCTCTTTGTAAAGGAAGATACCAAACCTAGCTTTAGCAAATTACTTAAGTAATCAATAATAATTTCCAATCAGAAGGGATACTGCAAATGCCTGAATCAGAAAAACAACTCAGGCTGAAACATTTTGGTGGAGTTACCAACCTTTTGAACACTACCTCAGAAAAGCAGCAGTTTAAATTGCTGGCTCGCTATGATCAACTGTTCAAGCAAGGATCTTACTTTTAATTAGCAGCTACTTCATGATTGGTGTTTGAATGAAAATGGAAATAGCAGATGAAATTAAATATGTAAAAGTTAAAACATACTGTACTAACGAGAGTAAGAAACACCACTCAGAAATGGGGAATAGTAAGAATATCTAACATAGGGAACAAGCCTTCATAAATACCTGCTGAACATGAAGGAAAATTTGCTTCAGAGGCATAATCCCTCTAAGATCTCCTCAACTCTGTTCCTAAAAAAGACTTGTACAAAACATGCAACATCTTGTGCAGCATCACTCTATTTCAACACATTTTCTCTCATCTAAGTGCCAGGTATTTGGTATTCCACAGACTTCTGTTTCACTGCATTGTGTAAAGCACTGATCTGAATGTATTTCTCATTTGATAATGAAAATAAAGCTGAAAAAATACACTGCATGTCTAAAACAAAAAAAAAAAAGGGGGGGAGGAAAGAAGTGAGAAGAAGTGACCCACCTCACGTGCATCCACTGCTGCATACATAATGTCCATCCAGCCTTTAAAAGTTGCCTGAAAATAATTACATCACTGAGTTTATTCTCATTAAAAGTAAATTAAAAAATTAAAATTAAAGTAAAAGATGAGGTAGAGCTAACATAAATGTGTTTACAGTCAAAGAAAAGTGAGCAGTGTGCTACAAAAATGTTCTAGTGATCTACTTAATTAGTAAAGAGAAACAAATTCTAAAAAATGGGTGTGAACCATTAATTGTTTTAATCAAGGTTTTTGTAAATTCTGTATTTCTTGGAAAACAGTAAAAGTTTATGTTCAACTAGCAAGTATATCCTAAAAGACAGAAAATAAATTCTAAGACAAACATCAGTTTTATCATTTCTGAGGATTCTAGAAGGCTTTGAGGATGCAGGGCAAGGAACACTTAGATAGAACATGGAGAGAGGAAGCACTTCAAAAGGTGTTTCCATCATGTTCTTGTGGTACTAAGATCAGTAAGTTAGCATCCAGACACTTCATGACTTATATATCAGAAATACAAACTGCATTGAGCTATTTCTCTGTTCCCCAACACAAAACTAATTTTTGCTCAAGATAATATGAGTGCTTTAAATCCATGAACATTTCAGGGTTGGTATATTTATCAAAACTGCAATAAGAATCAAAAAGCCATGAAACAAAGTTGCATATGTAAGAGTGTATTTTATCAGGAACTGAGCAGCTTACAAGCATGAAAAATATTTATTTAAGCTAGAAAATATCATCACTTTCAGCAAGAAAAACAAGTGCAGTGGCATCCTGTGGCTGGGCTTTCTTGAAGAAAGTGAAGCTGAGTATATTTTTACAGAACTTACCACTTGGAGAAGAGCCAAGTATCCCATCCCAACATGATCAAAGTTTACATCGCTATTTGTCCATTTCCCTCCATAATTATTACAGTCACTTTTGTTGTGAACTTCTCTGTTATCTCCTGCCTCAGGCACGCATTTCCAAAATTTTTTTCCAAGTAGTTTTACTCCTACAATGTTAAACAGGAGCCAGAAGACAACACAGACGAGTAAAACGTTCAGGATCGAGGGGATAGCTCCCAAAAGGGCGTTCACAACAACCTTAAACAAATAACATGAATGAAAAGAAAGAATAACTTGTCACATTCAGTAGAACACCTTCCCTCTCCCCCGAAAACATCTGCTTTTTTCTTTGGTATCTACGAAGCTTCTCACTCACAGATGACTAGCAACTAGCAGATGACATATTTAAAGCCAACCCTCAGCTGACACCAAGCTTGTCTTAACATCTTGTGCTATCTGTCTTGTCATTCTGAGGAAGCAGAACAGATGGCAACCAGAATTATCCTTGAGTAAAAGATGTACATTAAAAAAGGTAGCCTATAGTGGCTCTGGACCCTAAAGACAGGTATAGGGGAACAGGTTGTCCTTATATAATACCATGCCATAAATAATCCTCATTTACGTTGGAGAAGTTTTGTAAGAGAACACAAGCTTGACCTCCACAACAAAATGGGCCTCACGTGATAACCATTAGGAACTGACTGCAAACAGTACAAGAAGCAAAACAATTAGGTTTCCAACATGACTGACTTTTTTTTTTGTTAGCTCTCTTTCTTCATTTAGGTTTGCTTGAGGACAAGGTGAATGCAAGACTGCGGTACGCATTAGATCTCTTACAGAAATGATACCACTGAAAATGAGATTCCAGCTTTTGAGTGTCTCTGCTGGTAACATTGCTAGACCTGGCTCAAGCAGCAACAAAAACTCGCATTCAGGAACCCAGCACATTAATGCTGACAAGAAGGACCATGGTTGTTGCCAGTAGGAATTTTGGGACTATCTTCTATTTCTTTTCACCCTTTTTTTGTCATTTTGTGGTGGGGCATAATGAAGAGTTCTCTGGAAACAGATCACTGCTAGAATTATGAGAAAATTCCAAGAATTTTATCTTGGCCTTGGATAATATTCACTAGAAGTACGTAATATGCTAGGAATACACATCAGCTGTTCCAACCTAGATCATATTGCTCAGGGTCTCAGCCAGTCACGTTCTGATTTTTTTCCCCAGGATGGAGGTTCCACTACCTTTCTAGGCAAACGATTACATCCGCATGACAATTATCTTATTTAATAGGAATATCACTCACTGCCAACTCATTCTTTCTCATCTTCCCGATGCAGTCCTATCAGAAAACTTTAGTTCAATTTCCTGTAACTTAGGTAATTAAAGACAACAATTAGATCTGTTATCTAATTAGATCTCACGTGATCCTCCTTTTAATCTTCTCTTCCCCTGACAGAACAAGCTATACCCTTCACCTCTCCAGCTACATTATTCAGATTGCTAATGAAGCTTTAAGTAGTATGGACCCCAGGACTGAGCCATCAATAATGATCTAGGATTTAACTCAATTCTGCACACTGAACTTAGCAGTTCAGCCAATTTTCATTTTAGTTCATCTACCCAAACCATATTTAATCTCCATATGAGACCATGGATAACTTTTCCCTTCCTCAGACATCTTGCCATAGACAATCTTCATAAATTCACACCGGTTGATTCCATCTGATTTCTTGTCCTTCACATTTGTAAGGAGAATTTGCTCAATAGCCATCCTGGGGCCTGACTTTAGCATCTCATCACATTCTGTAATCTAACATAGGTCAGATAATTTACATCACATCACATATCTTATTTCTTCCCATTGGCTTTAAATGCTCCAGATAGAAACTGCTCTGAGCAGACTAAGGTTAAATAAGAAGAATCTCCTCCTCTGTTAATAAAGTCCCACCCAATTTAAGTATGCAAAGGATTGTCCTCTGTCACACCCACCCAGTGCAGGGACCCTACCCAGAGATACCTGTCAAGGTAAGTTGATACAATCACAGCAGTTTAAAGAAGGGGAATTATGGAAAGGAGCTACAAAAAGTGAATAGTTTCAGCTGAAGCAGTGAATTATTTAATCATTTTTTTCCAGTTCCTAACTTCTTGTCTGAGGGAGGAAGGAAAAAATAAGAAAGGTCTGTAGTCATTACACTTCCTAGGCCATGGAGATCAACAGAAAATACAACTTCCATGGTACAGAATCCTCCTTGTGTAACAGTTTGTTTGGGATAATTGGACAAATGTTTTCCATGTCTGAAGTAAAATAAGGAATGGGCTTCAGAAATGTACCAGTTTAAAAAAAAAGTCTGTTTCTTTTACAGATGTAGTGAAATTTTGGAAATGTGAAGAAATATTTAAGTAGTCTCATTGATGTACACCATAATTCATTGTATCAGCACACTATAATTCAATTTCCTTCTCTCATTTGTATTTATATAATTATATGAAATTATTTTTGAAATGACAACCATCTTAATGCTATTTCAAGTCCCCGGATAGAGATGTTATCTCATAATAACTTCAGATGCACCTGCTCCAAAACATACACACCCCTCCCAATATCCATACCTTTATCCCTTCAAATCTTGACAAAGCTCGTAGAGGCCGCAGTGCTCGCAGCGTCCTGAGAGACTTCAGGGCACTCTCAGAGGAACACTGTGAACTGTGTCCTGAATTTTTTCTTAGCCCCCAGGAAACACAAGAAATCTGTGTTTATTGAATTGAAAATGAGATTATTAACTGGCATTCAAAAGCTTACTCCATTTCTGTTTGCAGACAATCACAGATCAATGGTGATTGTAGCTCTGATCAGTAAATCAAATGCTAAAAATATTTACTCACAGCTATACCTAATAGGTAATTTTATTTTTTCAGACATTTTTCAAATAATGGCATTTTTTCATTTTTATTAACATATATATGTTCGGCTTTTCTTTCAAAATCAGTTTTTGTAATACCTCAGAAGGTCAGTATAACAACAAAAATGCAACTATGGTAATTCCACAGAATATAAGGTTTGAAAGTATTCAAATAAATGATTCTCCTTGTCTTTATAATTATTCTCAGAAGCCTATCTAGTAATTTCATGTCATGTCCACATCTTTATAGAAAAAAAAAAAATATTTTCTTTCAAAAGGTAGACAGTCTTGATTTTAAATCCTCTTAAGACAGAAACTGAGCTGAAAGCATTAGAAAAAAATCTTTCAATAGTTAGGGTTTATTTTTTTCCCCACTGTCATTATTTGTCTCTTTCTTCCTAACTGAATTTATTATCTTCTTGTCTAGAGCATTTTCATGCTCTTCACTGTTTTGGTCACCTTCGCTGTGAAAATTGCTGATCTGTAATTGCTAGAGTCATGCTTTACATTCTTTTTATACAGTCACAGTTAGATTTTTCTGTTGAAATTTCTGAGTATTCACAGTTGGGCTGGGATTGTTTAGTTTGGAGAAGAGGAAGCTCAGCAGAGACCTCACTGCACTCTACAACTGCCTGAAGGGAGGCTGTGATGAAGAGAGGTTTGGCCTCTTCTCCCAGACAACAAACAGGACCCAAGGAAACGGCCAGAAGTTGTACCAGGGGAGATTTAGATTTGATAAAAGAAAAAACTTCTTCACTCAAAGAGTGGTCAGGAGCTGGAATGGCCTGTCCAGGGAGGTGGTGAAGTCACCAAACCTGGCGGTGTTCAAGAGGCATCCGGATGAGGTGCTACGAGATATGGCTTAGTAGCTTAGTGGGTGGTAATGGTGACAGGAGGACAGTTGGACTAGATGATCTTGTAGGTCCTTTCCAACCCTGTGATTCTATGATTCTATAACTGCCAGGATTTATTCATCTAAATTTGTTCTCTTTTAAATAAGCAACTCTACTTTTTTCTGTTTCTGTATGATGGAGCTGCCAGCACTTTCACATTTTTCTATCATCTTAACTAACTCAATTTCATTTCTGATTGCTAATTGCACTCTCTCTTTACTACGGAGAAGATTTATGTAACTGAGATAGTCCTCAACAACAGCACTAAAACACTTTTAAGTAATTTGTTATCACCTAGAATTTCCATTTAAATTTGTCTACAGTTCCATTTGATTGCAATTCTTTTCAGCTTCTTGAAACTGTCTTTTACAATCCAGTTTAATCTCAATCCAATTTTCCATATAGTTCTTTATATAGAAAAAAAATCAGAATTCTAAATGTAAGTTCAATATAATACTTACACACACAATGATGAAGTCGAGCCAACACCACATATTTGTGAAATAACTGTGCAAACCATAAGCTACCCATTTCAGAAGCATCTCCATAATAAAGATGTAAGTGAATACCATATCAGCATACTCAAGGAGCTGCTTAACTGTTTTTCTTTCGTCAAGGTAAATATCTTCAAATGCCTGGAATTTCAGAATTAATTTTAAGGCTGTTTAGTAATTTTACAGTAAATTATTTTAGAATTGCACAGTATGGTTTATTCTACCCATTTCATGTTATGTTATTGGCAACTTATTTTTATGCGTAGAAATAAAAATCTAAATAGTAAACATCATTTTCAGATTGGTTGAAAATCTTCGGGTTATTTCTGTTCTAGACTTCTTCAATAAGCACCTGATGAGTGCCTGATATGGCTACCAAAAATCTTAGCTTCCCAAATAAGTAGATAATTTTTAAACCCTGAAATCCCTCATAGCTCAGTTTAAATTAAACACATTAACCAATCACTTTCAGGCCTAAACCTTCCAAAGCTGCCACCACCTTCAGTCAATCTGCAGAGTTGTAATACAGGTATGAAAAAACACAACAAACACCTTGTCTGTTCTTTCCAGAAGTTTTGAATTTCTCACAAAACCCCTGAAAATCCTTGCTGTCAGTAAGGGTTTTGGAAAATGCTTTATTGTGTGATCACTTCATTGTCTTGTTCACTTGCTTTTAACAGATTTGCTGCTCTACCAAGTTATTGTAAGTTATTGATACTGCCAATCAATTCCCAATTCCTTTAATAGCTGCATTATTTCCTCACCAATCCTCTGGCAATGTCTTCCTACTTCCTTTCATCCCCTAGTCCTCTATCATACTACCTCCATCTCCACTTCATGTCTCCTATGGCCAATATTTCTAGTGATCTATCCACCCATTCCCACCACCACCAGTTGACAACCCTCCATTCAAAGTTTGAGAAATTGAATGAAATTTACCAATGCTGCACTGCTCAGTACTATTATAAAAATGATAAAATTTTCAAACCAGCTATGTTTGACAATTTTGTAGCAGGTTTTTCTAAATTTCCACCAAGTGCTGCCTGGAAACTTAGTGATATCTATGCTGCAGCAAGGAAAATGTTTGACACAACCTGAAAAGAAAAAAAAAAAAGCATATGAGCTTAATGGAAAATATAGTGCCACAGAATGTAAAAAGTGTATGAAGAGCGCACAAAGAATGTGCTGTTTCACTCATATGACCATGCTGCGGCTGGAGGGATCTACAGCTGAAGAAAAGACAACATCTGTAGGCACACAGAACTGCTTTTTATAATGTATTTCATACATGGAAAAAGCAGAGAAAGCTTTGTGTATACAAACACACAAGTATTCCATATGAAAAAGCATCACAGCTCTGTAGAAAAACTCTTGCTGGTTTTATTATCTCACATCTATGCTTTTTGCTGTTAAAAGAGAGATGACCTTATGACTGGTTTAGTAAATTATTACTTTTATTCATTATTTCACTTGATCGCTCTGCACAAACATTGCAATAAGCTTCTGCTTGCTATTTTGCACATCCTTTCATCTTCAAAGGTAACATGATTGAAACATGACAGTCCACGCAGTCTAAGGAGCTGCTGAGGCAATTAAATACAGATGTCCACGCTGGGATAAACCAGACAGTCTTTTAAATTCCATTGGATGCACTGAGTGGATATTCACCCACTGCACTGAGATTTCGGACAGCTGAAATGCCACTTCAGATACCAGAAGTCAAGATGTATATCCTGGCTGACCTCCATCTGCCCCTTCAGAAGTGCTTTATTAAATGCCCTCACTCACATACACTCGACTACAGCCTGGTGTCACAATCTAAGCGTGAATCACACTCCAAAGACAGCATTTCACAGCCTAAACACAGGTGTTCAGATCCATTTTAGGCCCATTGGGGTACCCTATAGTGCCTGTGTCATTTCTGCCAGCTCTATGCAGTTATCACGGGTACTCTCAGGCATTCCATACAGAACTAAATGCCTGTGTTCAGGCATCTCAGTCCTGCTCCAGTTCTGTGCTGGCTCTGGCTATATTTATTTGACTTTTTATTTGTACAAACTGCTCAGGAGAATGACATCTGTCAATCTGGAAACATTCAAACAGATACCTTTGAATATTAGTTCATTTGGTATCCCTGTGATACATAAGATATACTTACTTTCTGTGCAACAGTCCTTAGGTAAATGTGTTTTTTTAGGCTGGGGATACAGGTCTATAAGAGTGACTGGGTCCACGGTGCTGGCTTCAGAATAGCTACCAACATCAAATCCCTGCACAGAAGAAGGCAAAGAAGAAAATTATTTGTTTTTCCCCTAATAAAGACATTTAAAGCACATTCGAACTAAATAAAATCTCCCTCTCCTTCAAATAAAGGAATAAAGAAAACTAAAGTCATTATGGAAAACAAGCATAAATCAGGCCAAAAGTGTAAGTGCCCTGACATGGAAAGGCAAGGCATGGGGACAGGTACAGGAATAAGAACCCAAGAAAAGGGAGGGCTGTCTCTTTTGACAGCCATGATGGTCTACACTAACTTCAGTTCACTGACATAGACAAAAATGATTTAAACCCACATTTATATAATTAAGTAATTTACACCAAATAAAACTCCGGGGAATTTTATCTAAAACCAGCACATCTTAAAGTGCTTGGATTTTTGGAGGTAATGATTCAGAATTACCGAATTCTCATTTTGTTTTTGGGTGGTAAGCTACAAATATTCACCTTTTTTTGCATATTTATTTATTTATTTATTAACGTGGAACTACACTGCATTAGCTAAGCTAAAAGCTATAGCTTCTAGATGAGAAGCTATTTGAGTGGACCTGTTTTAGAGAATAAATTTTTACACTGAAGGATGATGGCAAACAGTTACCTACAGAACTGATGAGTGAATCAACTGAGTTTAAAGAATGCTCCTTGCTTAATTTCTGTTCACTTGTAGAAAGTAATATATTTAGTTACACAGTTAGCAATGGCTGCTCATGAGACTCAAAGCTCCATGTTTTAGTAGGCATGGTGGTGATGGGTTGACAGTTGGTCTAGATGACCTTAGTGGTCTTTCTAACCTTAACAATTCTATGATTTCTGTTATAAATTACTGTCACAAAGCACCACCTGCTGCACAATTAAGACTTTGGAAAATGCTCGTCCTGTTATTGCTGAATAAGAATGAAAATGTTAATCCCTAGAACACTCAGAAGATGGTAACTGTTACAAATACCTCTTCTTGCTCTTTATTTTTGTACGTTTCTGAAGTCCAAGAAATCTGACTCAGGAGACTTGAGTTTCGGCACTGCTCTCTGTCTCTCAATCTGTCTTCCTAAATGAAGTGATGCAAAACAATTATTTTCCATCTTTTTCTTCCTGAGAGTTGTTCTTGAAGGAATAGATATTTATCAAAGTGTAAAGCATCCACAAAATTAAGCATGTCTGTCTTTTTATAGAGAATTATATAATACCTATTGAAGGCATGTAGAAAGTGGTTTTTTTTCCCCCTCAATTCAAACACTTTGGTCCTGTTGTTATACTGTGAATGTTTATCATTTCTCAAGACGTACATTTATCCCAGTGATGGGTTCCTGCATCCACTGTTGAGGCTCAGCTGCAATCTCTACAGCTGCATTGCAGTAGCTGGAGACCGAAGAGCTCAGTGATCCCTAACAGCTCTCAGTCCTCTTGTTGATGCAAGATGAAGACAGTACATAACACGTAAAAATAACCAAAGTAACCCATAATGCAATCCAAAACATATTTCAAATTGTCAAAGATGACTCTAAGGCAATCAACAATTTCTGCTTCTTGAAAATTTGCCCAAATATAAGACAATGTCTCCTCTTGTGATCAAAAATATAGGAAATGAATTCTAGAAGTCCACCTAGACACTGACCGTATAACAATCTAAGTGAGATCAGCATCTGCTTTTCATATTTTTGCCATGGCATAATGTTAAGTTACTGCACTTTGAGCCCAAATATCATAAGCTACTCTAAGACGCTTTCTACCTTGCTTTAGCAAATAACTTTCAAAGAAGTTCCTTCTTTAACAGCTTTAGCCAGTCTGTATTGGTACATCCTTCACGCAAAGTGTCTGAGAAGGTCTTGCAATGTTTCTTTTGGTTCACTTTTTGGCAAAAGACTGCAGAGAACTTATATGCATTTAGGTATCTGCACTTAAGTGCCTATAGATTAAGCTTATTCCTGCCCTTTGCAACAAAATTAAGATATGCAAAAGAGAATCTAAAATATCACAGAGGAGAACAAGGGAGCAAAAAAACTCAAACACGTTGGTTTGGTTTTTTGTTTGTTTGTTTTTACAGTGAAGATCTTATTTGCATTTGCTTTGGCTTCCGAACAACTGAGAAGCAATATATGAGCACTACAACTAGAGACTTGTCTTCCAAAATATCCAAATGCCATTGATAAGGCTAAGGAGACAAAAAATAAGAATGTCTGTCTTGATAAAACTTCATTTAGCAATTGACAACAATAAAATGAAATAAAATAGCTATAAACAGATTTACAGCTACCACTGAGAAGAATAATGAAAAAGTAGATATCCAACTTTTCCTGCTGAATAACTGAGATTGCTGAATAGCTCTTGCATTTTGAAGCTACTAGAAGAAGAAAAAGTAAAACTGTGGAGATGACAGAAGAAATAACATTTACAACAGTGCCTTAAAGACTGTATTTGCAGATGCAAGTTACAGCACACTTCCTATCATTAATACTTCTTACCCATTTTCTGTATTCTCCTTCTGTGTATACACTCTGCTCATCATCACCTTCATCAGTATAAGTCTCTACTACTGCAAGGGGAATGTGGCCACTATGGTAGTTTAAAGAGCCTTCGTATTTCCGTTCTGCTGAGGAACTCTCTTCATTATTATAACATCCAATGTCAAAACAACTGTTGTCCGCATCCTTTCCAACATCTGTCATAGCATAGTTATTTTTCTCTAAGTCTTTGAAGGAACTTTCTCCCAAAGTCTTCTTTTTGGCTGTTGTTTTTTTGCTTTGTTCCATGGTTTTGCCACATTTATCCAAAATTCTCAGTTTCACAGACTGCAGGCCCTTACAAATCCGTGCAATGGCAATCTCACATTTACTCTGTTTTTCAGCTTCCTCTTGTCCCGGTGAGGAGTCAGTATTGAAAGAACTCAGCAGCAGGGCAATGAATAGGTTGAGCACCTTGAAGGAAATAAAGTAAGCTGAAGACACCGCTACTTCTAACAGAAATAAATAAGTAAATAAAAAGATCAGAAAACCCTTCTTGTGCAAACAGAGAAATAAATAAATAAAAATCTCTCTTTCATCAACTGCTCTGCTATCAAATTGAGCGTACGAAAAAAATTTCTTCTTCCAGTCAGTAATAGAATGAGAATGAATGCTCACTGTAATGGAGTGTTCTTACCAAAGCATATAGTTAGGTATTAGGCTTCTAAAAAAGGTATGCAAAGATGCAGAATTTTCCAGAAAGTTTCAGCTTCTAGGGGAGCTGTATGCAAGATGGACAAACAGGAAGAAAAAAATCTAACTCATATATTAGAATGAATCTAAATCATGCAGTCTAGAAAATCTGGGTACTGTAGCATTTTGATACTTTAAGGTAAGTCGGTAAGCATTCAAAGCAATTCTGTTGCTTGACCTCAGCAGCACAAAAGATGAAGAAAGCAAATTACCACTGAATTATGGGAAGTGCTGCATGCCTGTGCTCTTATTAGAATGAATCATTTTGTGTATTTTAATTATTGGTTACTTCTTGTGTAAGAAAGACATGGAAATAAATGAAAAATTGAAAATAGAAACCATAGAAACAAGCTAACATCCAGAAAACTGAAATGCAGGAATACTCTTCAAATGATAACATTTACCTAAGGGAAAAAGATGCCAACGTAACTTGGTTCAGTAGGGATGGAAAACAGCTTGAAACTCACCACTAAGTTTCCTATCACCAGGACTAGCAAGAAAATGGGAAGACACAGCCCTTGTCCAGCCACTTCCATACATTCCCACATGGTTTCAATCCATTCTCCACATAATATTCGGAATATGACCAGGAATGAATGACAAAAATCCTTCATATGCCAGCGTAAGTTCCTGGTTGTACTTATTTTGTAGAAGTTAGCACTGTAACATTTGCCCAAAACCTGCTTTCCTACTACAGCAAAAATAAATACAGTGATAATCAAAACCAGAGTGAGGTTACCCAGTGCACCAACTGAGTTTAGAATTATTTTCATAAGAGTATTTAAGGCTGGCCACATCTTTGCCAATTTGAAGATCCTGAGCTGCAAGTAAAACACAAGGGAACAATGAGAGGCAGAACAGCACACAAACAGCACAACACAAACACACAAACAGACCCTGCGTTTATCACGCTGCCTTCACTGTCAAATTCAACACCACCCACCATAATTCATCCCTCCATATAAAGGTTTTTAGCTGCTCAGATCCAAAAGTTTTCTACTTAAGTTCAGATATAATTCTGAATTCACAGCAAGGGTGTAGTAAAAAAAAAAAAAAATTAGTTAAAAAATGACATTATACACAGATATCTGAGAGATAGCCCTTTATCTAAGAAACTGGGAAGCCTGCTCCTAAATCTAAGCCTTGAGAAAAGCCATGTTATTTGAGGAAAGCCACAATGCACCTAGGAAAAGACAAGCAGTGAAGGCACCTTTGCTATCTTTAAGCTCAGATAACACATTTTCTTATCGGAAAATCTAAAATGTAGTTGATTAGTGACACTCTATGGACCTAACAGAGAAGTGGTGAACTCACTAAGTCAAATCTCTAAGGGGGAGCACTGCCAGAGCATCTGTAGTATCCCATATACAGCATAATAAACATATTACATATATTCTTTGCCATGCATCTAATATTCATTCCAATTTAACATTCAATGCTAGCTTACTATTTGCTTACAAAGAGAACAATAAAATAATTTGAGGGTATTTCCACTGCAATGTTTTCACAAATCTATACAATGCAAGTACTTCTAAAAAAGAATACAGACATAATTACCAGCCTGAAAAATGTCATATTTTCATGAAAGCTTATTAGGCCAATCATCACAACTATACTATCAAAAATATTCCATTTTTGCTGAAAGTAGTAGTATGGATCTAGGGCGATGATTTTCAAGACCATTTCTGCTGCAAAAATCACGGTGAAAACCTGGAAAAAGAAATTCACCATGAAGTCACTGAAAATGTATGTCTCTTTATGAGACTGACCAGTCAGTCTGGAGCTATAACTCCATTCTTGATCTGTGAGTGACCTAACTTACCTTGTCACTTATGCAAATCAATCTTTTTTCAGAAACAGACATGCCAGGGTGCTCCAGAGCCATGAAAAAAGTATTCACTATAATGCAAATCATGATTATGAGATCGACAAGTGGATCCAAAGCTATCAATTGCACCTTCCCTTTGACTGCTCTCCAGAATGGGCAACTGTTCCAAATCAGATACTTCTGAACAAGACGTTTCCAAACTGAAGCGAATCTCGCCTTCGCATTTTGCTGCTCTAAATGATAAAAGTGACATACAAATAATCTCACAGTATGAAGAAAAAGACCAATACTGGTATTAAAGGTCATAAGCAACAAATTTCATGATTATAGAAACAGGTGATAGTACTCACTCGTTCATATTGCCATTATCCTGGGGGATGAGAACATACCTGCTCTAAGGAGAAATAACTTGCTGTATTTGGGAAAACATACAAATTGTGTTCTGTCAGTTGTACCTTATGGTCACAGAAGCAGAGAAGTGCCCACTTCCATCTTTTTCAAAACACTGTCCCACATTCTAGAAGACTGATAACTTTCCCTTTAAGCCTTCTCTTTGCAATACTGAATCAGCTCAGCCCAAAGCAAGTGTTCCAGTCCTTAGCTGTCTTAGTGGCACTCTGCTGAACATAAGTTAGTTTTCCAAGGTATTCCCTATAACGTAGGGAACCAAAACTGGGTACAGTATGTGCTCTAACAAGTGTTTAATTAAGGGTAATAATCATTCTTCTCAGTCTCCTGGCTATGCTGCCTTTAATACAGCCCAGAATGCTGTTAGCCACCCCTGCTGAACTCATGCTCAGCTTGCTGCCCGAAAGGACTGCAAAAGGACAAGGGCTTGTTCTGCAGAGCTGCTTCTCAGGCAATCAGCTAGCACCCAGTTTATACTGTTGCAAGAGATTCTTGCACTTATGTAGAAGTCTATCCTTGCTGAATTTTTGTCAGGTTTTTGTTGGCCTGTGCCATCAGTCTGCCTAGGTCCCTTGCCATGCCTGTATCAACAAGTCTCCTCCAGTTTGGTGTCATCTGTGAATTTTGAGAGCAAGTACTCTATTGCCGCCTCCAGGTCACTGATGAAAACAGTAGGACAGAAAGGATCCTAAGATACCACTCTGTGGTACTCTATTTGGTTACCTAACCCACAGTAAAAAGTATCATGCCCACCAGACTCTCAAAGCCCAAGAATCCAGCCAGTTCTCTGATCAGCTGGCTGCTCACCCATGCAGACCTTAACATCCCAACAGGGATACAAAAATACTCTGGAAAGCCTTACTAAAAACAGTGACAACATTGCCTTCCTCTCAGCCACAAATCCCAGTGACTGTATCGTGCAGAGCAATCAGGTGTGATTTAGGCTTGGCAATTTCAAGTTACAGTTGCAATTATATGTGATCTGAGAATATTAATTTCATTCAAACTCAGATTTTAATTTCCCCTACTCATTATTAAACAATGTCAATTGCTTGTGATATTTTGCTCTCTTCAGTCAAGGTACGCAATCAGAGTTGAAAAAAGTACTGAAGAATTAATGACTTACTCATGTTATCTGTAATAATAGTGGCTGCACTCATTAACCTCTGTCTCTGATAGGGATCGTTAATAGAGTCCATTGACAACTCATAAGACAATAGGATCTGCCTCTTTGGTTAGAAAGACAACAGAAGACAGTACAACAAGAGAATATGAATAAATGTTTGCAAATGTAAAATTATTCACAGCATAATATAAATGTACAGTTAAATTGTTTAAAATTTGTTTTAGATATACACTGTAATGAAGCCTTACCTTGCTGAAGGAATGGAATATAAGACAAAACAAGAAAGTATCATGTGAACACAAGGATATGTCATTAAAAATGCTACCACGTGTCTCCTTCTGAAAATAAAGTCTTGCTAAAAATAATTTTGCCATTATAAAATGCATATAATCATATATAGTAAGAAACCTTAACAGGAGAGCAGGGGAAAAAAGAATAATTCCAAACTTTCTTGAGACAGATAATAGGAACACACAAAAAGAAGACTGAAGATCAGTTTAAATAACTGGTTATGGAACTATTTCTAATCAATGACAAACATTAACTAATGTTAATAATAGCTATTTAGTGAGTCAGAATTATTGGTTTCCTCATCCATTTTAAGCCTATCAAGAATATCAAACTGCTTAAAGCTAGGAATGGGACAACTTCAGTTTTCACTAAAAGCTACAGAATGCTGATCTCAGTGTTCCTGATATACGCTGAGAAACAGCCAGGCCAACACCTGCATCCTACAAAATACTCATTACAGTGAAAGATTATATTCCTGACACATTAACTATGTACACACACACCCAGTGCATATACAGTCTTTAAAGACTACACTGTTGTAAAACAGGTTATAAAGAATAGGTGGCAATCTCTGAGGTAGACAAAACCAGAAAGAAGGAAGATTCCAGCATTAGGATGGAATTAGAGCTATCAGCTAGTAACGAGTTACCAACCAGATCACAATGCACAGTCTTAGTGATCATTTTCTGCACAACAATTGAGGTAACTTCCTTTATGAGGAAGATATGCAACCAGCGATATGCAATATCATCACTTTAGACTTTCATCATAAGAAAATTCTTACAACATATTCCATAAAATTATTATTAATAGAATTAAACTGACATCCTTAGCCCTAGGGGTTTAATATTAACTAATTTATTTCTGTTCTTTGCTATTTTAATGACTTCAAAGCTAAGCAAAACTTAGCTGATAGAAGAGTCATAAAATAGACATGTGAAATGAGTTTGCAATAGCGTGCTAAAATGTCCCTTTTTTCAGTCTGCATTTTTTCAGAATCTAAAAAAAAAACCAATTAGAACATTTTAATCATATCCAAGTCACTAGGGCAACTTGTCTGTTCATTTCTTTCTCTCATATTTGGTCCCTTCTGTAATGTCCCTTTCTACAATACATGTAATATTGAGAAACCTCTAAAAATTCATGTGTCTTCCTGAATGAAGTTTCCAAGTTTCTTTGTTTCTGAAATTCCTGTCTGTTCACAAACTCTCAGAGCATAAGCCTTTAGGAAGGTTAAGAACATCCATCAAAACTAAGCTGTTTACTGTTCAGCTGTTCTTTTCCTTTTAACCAAATTAAACACCTGGTTACGGGAAGCCCTCTGATAAACCACTATTTAAAACAGGAAAGGGCTCTAGAAAGATAATCCTTCAAGTTCTTATGGAATTGATGTTCTCTGAAGTTTTCCACCTGATCCACTTTCTTCTCTTTGTTTTGGCATCTTTAGCCTTTTCTTACAATTAAAAGTAAAGTGTACACTGAAGAGTGCTCAGTTTTAGCAGAGGTTGCACAACTATTAGGTTGCCATAACAGGAAACAAACTGGCACTGTCTTAGAGTTGTGGATTACAGAATCATAGAATAGCAGGGGTCCCTTCTCTAATGTTTCTTTCTGCAATATTTATAATATTAAGAAACCTCTAAAGGAAGGAAAGTAAGGAAAGACCTTCTTTCAAACAGCCATATCACATGCAAGTCTAATGAATATATCCTGTATTTTGAATACTTACCAGCTTCTTGTGGCAATGATCAGGCTGTGAACGAAGCATACTTTCCTCGTTACTTTGATCACCTACAATTAAACTTTGCCTTGAAACAGGCTTTTCTCCCCTCATCTCTTTTTCTTGTGATTTTTCTAAGTCAGCAACTGACATTTCAGATTCAACATGGGAGGCTTTATTACTCTCTCCAGCAGACAACATCTGGAAATGAAGCAACAAAAAGTATGTCTATTAATACAAGCCAAATAAACAGACTAGGATCATACATTACCTTTTGGATACCAAACTACTGTAAAGGGGTTTGAGTTGCATTCTGTATTCCTAAGACTGAAAGATAAAAGCAGGGTTAGTTTTCAGCTACCATCATTTAAGCTTGCCCCTGTCACTTCAGATATTGTATTCCATATGTGAAATACAGAATATTTAGGCATATTGTTTTACTCTCCCTTTTCTCACTACGGATCTTGAGCACGATGACAACAGAAGAATCAGGGTTCAAACTACATCCTAAAATATTAAAACTTTTTTACTAAGTAAACTTTGAAAGCTCAAATTTCACTCATAGAAATAGCACAGGCTTATCCACAGCTCTGTAGAAGAAATTTGGTACAACAGTGATGCTTTTTGTCTTAACAATGAAATGGGATAGTTGGTATGGAAAATTTCTAAGTCCTCTTACAAGTCTGACTTTTTTGATTGCTAGCTGCAAATTGGAGGTATCTTTCACAAAAGTCAGAGGATAAATGAATGATACCTTACCAATGATTTTCAATCTGTGTTTTTGCTTCAGCTGGGTGCTTAACTTCTCAGGAATAAAATAAAACAAGATCCCAAGTCTGCTATGGGCCAAGAAATTAAAGAATCTAGGCAATACTATGCCAAGAAGAAGAGGAAAATATAAATCCGTAGCGTGTCAAAACCAACAGCAAAGAAACTAATGCAGTTTCTGGATGCTCCTTTACATGAACATGGAACTAATGGTACTAGCCTGGCAAAGGCTGCCTATCCTGGTCTTGTCAGCTGGTAGACATTCTGTGTGCAATCATTCAAAAAGAGCTCAGCTGAACACAGTGGCTCTCAGAAAGTGGGTATTCTTACACAATCCTGAAATCCATCTGCAGTTCAAACCTCAACCTCAAGAAATTAATGTCAACTTTCCTCATGGATGCATGTATCTCTACCTGTACTTCATTTGTCAGACAATGCAGTGATAGAAAAGACAGTTTGTTATGTCCAAGGATATAAGAAAAAAATATATATTTTATTCTTTATTATATACAGCAATTTACAAACCTGTTCTTTCTCAAGAATTTTTTTAGCATCCTGAAGTAATTCTTCCTTTGCCTGTGTTTCAGCAAGAGTAGCTTTGTTCTGCTCTTCATATGCCATAGTTACTACAGCCAATATCAGATTGAAGAGATAAAATGAGCATAAAAAGATGACAGCTATAAAAAATAAAATGTAGCTCTTCCCAGATGAACGGATAGTCTATGAGAAAAAAAGGAAAGATCATAACAGATTCTTAAAATACAAACATTGGCAGTAGGATTAGAAATTAGCAACTTACTTTGCTATACAATGCAAAAGGTCAAGATACTGCACTGTTTTCTTGACACAGTAGCAGGATCTACCTCTGGTCTCGGTTATGCAGAAGGTCTAGGAATATATCTAATCAGGAGCTCATATGGCCTCAAGTAAATAAATTGTAGACCTTAAAAAACCTGATAATACAATGTATTTCTATTCAAGCATTCATGAGGATGCTCTACATGGCTCAGAAGAAGAATGAACAAAATTTTTTCTTAAAATTAAATGAAGTAATTCTCAGCAAATTGGGCAAACAATCAGAGTTTAAGTTATGATAAGGCAACTTCAGCTGTGAAGAGATTTATAGGTGACTACAGAAGAAATTACTGAAAATAACAAGAAAGCTAGAATTATCTAAAAATTCTAAAATATGCTATCATTAGTTAATAAGAGGCAATAATTAGAGTGCTTATTCTTACTTTTTTTAAAGTAGCACTGGAAGAGATGGTTAAAAATTAAGCTCTGAGACATTAGAAAACAAAAACCGCATGACCTTGAACTAACAGTAAGAATACATGACTGTTTAGGTTGGAAAAGACCTTCAAGATCATCTAGTAAGACCTTCAGTATCATCTAGCAGTCTAGTATCCACCCAATCCTACACGTCCACTGCTGAGCTGTGTCCCTAACAGCAACATTAAAGCATCCTAAATACCTGCAGGGACAGGGAACCCACCACTTCTCTGGGCAGCCCATTCCTATGCTTGACAATCCTTTTTATGAAGAAATTCTTCCTGCTATCCAGTTTAAACCTGCCCTAGTGCAACTTGAGGCTGTAATCTCTTATCTTATCACTTGCCATTGAGAAAAGAGAGCAACCCCCACCTTGCTATAACCTCCTTTCAGAGACTTGTAGAGAGTGATAAAGCCACCTTTTTCTTCACAGTAAACAAGCCAGTTCCCCCAGCCACTCCTTTTAAGCTTTGCTTTCTAGTCCCATCAACAACTCTTGCTCTTCCCTGGAAATGCTTGAGTAACTCAGTATCCTTGTGGTGAGAGGCCCAAAGCCTGAGGTGCAGCCTCATCAGTCCCAGTACAAGGCATGACCACCTCCTGCTCCTGCTGGTTGCACTACTTTTGATGCAAACCAGAATGCCAATGGCCTTGTGGCCATCTGGACACACTGTCTGGCTTGTGTTCAGCTGGCTATTTACCAGCACCTCCACATGCTTTTGCACTTGGCAGCTCTCCAGCCACCCTTCTCAAGCCCATATTACAAAATGGAGTTGCTGTGGTTAAAGTGCAGAACCTGGCACTGGATCTTGTTGAATACCATGAGTCTTGGTGCAATCTATCAACCCAGCCTACCCAGATCTCTTTTGCTGAGCCTTCCTACCATGAGGCAGATCAACAGTCCTACCCAAGTTGGTGTCATCTGCAGATGTATCCATTAAAAAAATAATCTCAATCAACAGAAATTGCTGAAGAGATGTTAAAGTGAACCATATGAAAACTGCAGAACAAGGCAGAAGATAATTCTCTTCTAGCACAGACACTGCATAGGTATAATGGATCCAGAAAGACCTCTGCATACAATTTCTGTATAGTTTATGTAAAAAACAAACAAACAAAACCCCAGCACTTAAACGTTGCAAATAAAACATAAAAGGCTCTGTTTTTTGGGGTTTTTTTTGTTCCAGTTATCAAAATACACTCTGAAATCTAAGTGTATTTGTTCTGAGCCAAAAGGTTTGATGAGGAGTCAGGATTTAGAGAAAAACAGAGTATGCAAGTCCTCACAGCTCCTTCAGCAGTAGGGAACTCACTAACTGGATCTCTTACACATCCCCAATCCTTTGCTAGTGTCATAATTAAAATACTTATTTACTACTCACTGTTCTAAGTGTGTTCTCCAACGATACTATGAGTGCTCATGTTAAGAATGCCGCCATTCAATGTCACTTGCAGAAAGTGTTACAACTTAGCCAATTGAACCTTCTTCCTTAATATTGGTTCTAAAACAAGTTTTGTATCAGTAATGTTAAAATAGGTGCAGATTTTTCTACTGGACATAAACCTTTGAACTTCATGTCCAAAGTCAACGTAGCAGGTGATAAAAGTACCTACTTGTCTGTACAGACGCTCCCAGGAATCCTGTGTCATCAGACGGAATAAAGAAAGGAAGGCCCAGCCAAAATGATCAAAACTTGTGTAGCCAAAGTCAGGATTGTTCCCACGTTTCAAACATGTGTAGTTTTCAGGGCACTCATCTCTAAAGAAGGAGAACAATACTTACACTTGTAGTATTAGAATACACTCTAAGGCACTCTAGTTCACAACACCATGTACAGATTTGTTCAGCTCATCTGAAACTCCAGTTTCATTGATCATAAAATGGCCTGGGTTGAAAAGGACCTCAAAGATCATCTAGTTTCAACCCCCCTGTCATAGGCAGGGTCGCCAACCACCAGACCAGGCTGCCCAGAGAAAGTGTGGATGCTCCATCCCTGGAGGTGCCAAGGTCAGGCTGGATAGAGGCCTGGGCAGCCTGATCTGCAAACAGATCAGGGTAGGAGGGTTAGAACTCAATGGCTTTAAACTTTCCTTCCAACCCAAGCCATTCTGTGATTCTAGAAGAACTGATTTATATCAGACAACTCTGGAAAATCATTTGACTTGTCACAGATTTGTGGTACAGTCTTGACTAGACAGAAACTCTCTTCTCGAGGGGGGTACATACAAAGGTATACATAAAGGGGGAAAATATAAAACTATACTGACATTTAAACAATCCACCAGGATAAAGAGAGCTTGTTAATACCTCACATTCTTTACTGATCTGTTCCCCTCATATTTTTCCTCATATTCTATACCAATTATATTACCAGCAGTTAGCAAGAAAGCACATCAATAACCGTGGACATTCTAGTATTACCATTCATTTGTTCTCTCAGATTAAGTATTATGAAAAGAAGAAAATAAGAAAAAATTAATAAAATTAAGAATTAAGAAAAAAATCCATCTTTCTGAAAACTCATCAGTATTTCCTCGTGCCAAAAATAAAGCCAAAATCCATACAGAGTGGAAAACAAGGAAGTACTGAAACCGTTTTCTCACTTACGAAGAATTTCCATTGTAACCACAGAGCAGGATGTCAGAAGATCCCTTCATTCTGGCACAGATATCTAATAAACAATAATAATAATAAAAAGGAATCTTTAACTCACAAGTTGTTGCCTTAAACTTCTCCAGGTTCAAGTGGCTGTTCACATACTCAGTTCCTACCACACACAGTAAGCCATACATTACTGCACTATAAATGATGGCCTAATATACAAAATCTCAGTGAAAATCTTATTAGGGCTGTTTCTCTGCAGATCCATCCCCAGATATGGCAGTTTTTGTTTTTGTTTTATTTTTTGAAAATTTATTTATTGTAAGATTTTATTCATTTTTGTAAATATAGGAATACCTAAAAGAGGTAGTCAAAATCCGTGAACAACATAGTCTATGTTAAAATAAATTCAATTTGAGCACAGTTCCCTTAAAAATAGGATAAATAGGTAAAGAAGGTAGTTTATGGGAACTGCTGAATCACAGCCTGAGCCTCTGATTGACCACCTGAGGCAAGCAATGAGTCAGCCAGGTGAAGGCAATTCTCCTGTGCCACCTGAAGGGGTGGAGCCTGGCTGCACCTCTCCTAGACTCCGTTTAAGAGTTGACTACCAGTGGGGAAGGATCTTTTTTGGAGATCGCTCCTCCTGGAGTTTTCTCAGTGAGCCCAAGCTTTCCATCCATTCTTCTTTAGAATGACTAAAGCCTAACTTTCTTGTATATTTCTTAATTATAACGTGTCTATTCCTTGATTATACAGGTGCTTACAGAAAATGTAGCCTGTGCTATCACATAGACTGCTAATCTTTCCTTAAATACTAGACTCATTAATGTCACATTTCTCTGTCTGAGAGATTTCATATCACTACTTTTGCAAATAGCTTCTCATAGGAAACACATACAACTGTTTTGTATCATTTGTGTTAAAAAAAACTTTTTGAAACTTCCTTCACATGTAGGAAGATACACAGATGACATAAAAGGAGACAATAATAAAATTTACCTGTTTCACTTGCGTTATATATCTTGGCATCCTTACAAAATGTGTCATTGTATGTAGTATTTGTGAGGACACATTTGTTTTTTAAATTGCCCATAAAAAGCTGCAGGCCTATTAGAGCAAATATGCTCAAGCAAAAGACAGTCAAGATCAACACATCAGTAAGTTTCTTAACAGATTCGATAAGTGAATTCACGATGACTTTCAGACCTAGAAAGATAAGATTCAATGATATGCATCGTGAGAAGAAGAATGCAACATTGCTGTATGATAACATACAACAGTTTTGAGTATATTAAAAGCAAATCAGTGTAAATGATCTTGTAGCTTCACAGTATTAAGGTAAATATGATGAGCAATGTATTTTTTTACTTAAATTTCCTGATCATTATTAAAACTGATTTTGCTAGCTTGAATATTAAAGCTTAAGGTGTCATCTAGCTTAAGATGCTGGCTAAATAACCTCTTATGAAATAACATTCTTAAATATTGTGAAGCCAACATTCTTGTAAAATAATTACAGCAGCATAAGCTAATGAAGTGTAACATAAACCAGGAATATGCTATTATAGCAATTACTATGTTAAGAGAAGAAATTGGATAGGGTGCACTGTTCAGAAAAGACATAAGTAAATAACAGTGAGCATTAATGATGGTATAGAAAGAGGAGAAATAGTAAAATCTGCCTGGGGCAAAATCATCTTGAGTAGGGATGATAAAACATTCTGTTAGCATACTGCTGAATGTTTCTATATACTGCAAAACAGTCACACCTTGGGACCACGTTAACTGACACAAAGTGACCAGACAACACAACCCTGGAGGTGTTCAAGAAATGTTTAGATGTTGTACTGAGGGTGACAGATGGGCAGTTGGACTGGATGATTTTAGAGGTCTTTTTCAGCCCTGGTTATTCTATGATCCTATGAAAAGGTGAGGAATTAGTAAATCTCTGTTGAAGTAAGGAGGTGATTAGTCATACATGTTGTTCCTTACCTGGTATTACTGAAATAGCCTTCAAAGTCCTCAGTACTCTGAATGTCCGAAGAGCTGAAATATTGCCTGATGTTGTACAGATACTAATATACCTATAAAATTAAACATCATGTAACTGAATGACAAAGATCCATCTTTGCAGAGAGTATGAACACAGAGAATACAGTAATTAATACAATAAAGACAAGAAAAAGGCAAATATATCCTGAAATAGAAGCCTGAAGTTTGGAATCTAAATTCATTTTTAGGAATAATTATAAAATATTGAGCCTTTTGAACAGTGCCACTCAAAAGAAACACAACAAGATTTTCTTCCTATGGATTTGGATGCTGAAGTATTTAAATATTTATCCCCCCAAAATATCAATAAATATAAAACCTTCAATTACATAATCACATCATTTCAAACTGACTGACTCAGAAGGCTAAAGTAAGTATATGCTGAAACAACCTATTAAACTGAACACAGATATTGCAACTATCTCATAAAACTACATTATATATAGTTTATAGAAAGGGAATTGAGCAAAATTAGCTTTAAAATATGTTAATTCTGTACTGCTTGTAACTTTTGCCAGTCAATTAAAAACTTGAATATAGAAACCATTTTCCATTTAATTTTTTTCAGCAATTTGGAAATGATAGGAAATGAGGACTGTAAGAGCTTCATATTCTATGCAACACTTTATCTGGCTAGCTCATACTTTGTAAGATGTCCTTCATGTGAGAATGGATATTGTGACCCTTTTTTAAATCAGATCATTACTGGTAACAGAATTCCTTAAAACATGAAGTCTCAATAACAGTATCTGAGAAACACCTGTTGGAAAGGACCTCTGGGGATGATTTAGGCAATTACTCACTCAAAGCATGACTTTTAACAGTAACAGATCAGACCACCACAGCTTTGCCTAGCCTGTAAGATTAAAGTACCTGAAGTAATAACTGTACTGTTAATTTCCATATACTATAGATAATATGTAGAAAAGTGCTTATAACTGCTTGAATACAAATGAATCAGGAGCACGTGTAGCAAAGCAAGACTGCAAAACATAATTGTGCATACAGCTGGTGGACTACTTGATAGCTACTGATTGTGTACGTCTTCAGTCTAAAATCCTTAGAGGTTTGTAGATTGTACGTGATGACATCTGAGTACATAACTTGTTACTCTTGAGGGAAAACTAGTCATGCATATGGCAATTGTAAGCTGTCTTTGTTACAGAGCCCATTAGATTCTGTAAGTTTAAAGACCCTGGGACCAGTAAGCAAGATAAACAGGAGGATGAATTCCTGGACTTCGAGACAACAGACCCAGCTTGTTCAGAGATTTGCTTGGCAGGAACCCAGGAGAAATTGTCTCATAGGGAAAAGTAACCCCTAGAACAGAAGGTTTGATCTTTAAGGGTATTTTCTTCAAAGCACAAGAATCACATGCTCCGCTCTGCACAGTAAAGCAAGTGCAGCAGAATATCCCCTAATCTCAGCAGGGAAGTCTTGACTAAGGTATTCTAAAAGGATGTGTATGAAAGGTGAAGGAAAAAGACAAAATTCAGCTGAATTTGGAGTTGTCCAGTTCCTGGAAGCTTACCATGAAATAATGAGAGATGACAGAGTTAAGTTATTACACAAGACATTCCAATTAGGTAAATGGGTGAAATAAATCAAAATGCAGTTGGGATGGGTTGCTTGGGGAGATTTACTGAATCTCCACCCTCAGAGAAACTCAGTACTTGAGCAACAAGATCCCAAACAACTTAACTTAAATCAACTCCACTTTTGAACCACATGATTTCTAAAAGTCCCTTTCAATCAAGATTCTCTAATAAATTAAAAACAAACAAACAACCGGAGCATATTCAGCAATGCTAAATGGCAGGGAAAATTTTGAAAGCTCAGACTTGGCTTTGAGGTATCTGTTCACTGCTACCAGACTATCTTGCTTTCAAGACAAATGTTCTGCATCTGAGATGCAAATTCTGACTTCTTTTCTTCCTCATTTCTTGTCCACATAGCTAACTGCTTTTACTATGAGCTTAATTAAGATCACAGCAGGGATCCATCTGGCCACTAATCCCATGTTTAAGAATGGCCCATGACAAAGGCTTACAGAAGAGTTTTGAATCAAGGCCAAGATTTCCTTCTTCCAGAAAATTCGTAGCTCAGGGATTTCCTGAAGATGAAAACTTACTTTTGTGTTAAATAAAACCTAACTGTGATCTCCTCCAGCATTCTATCCAGAAACATTCCAAACACAAGAAATCCAATACCTCCTATGGTAATGCACCTACGCATGCTGTGAGAAGCTAAACCCTTCATTTTCATTCTGCCATCTGAAAACTTCAGTTGGTGCCTTTACCTCATCTGTGGTTTTATTAAAAGGATTTATTCTCTTTCTGGTTCTGTCCTAGAGATTTCTACCATGTTCCTACTGTGTGTTTTTTTTTTCTTTTTCATGAGTTCTACGCTACCTAGTTTCTCCTTACATGGAACACAAGAGGCACATTTACTCATCCTTCTCTGTCTCTTTTTTGTTGCCTTTTGAAGGCTGCAGGTGCATCCTGAAAAAAATATAAAGATTTCTGTATGTAAATAACTTTGCATTCCACTTTGTTGTATCTCATCCTCAATATCTTTGCATTCTATTTTATTCTCTGGCCATAAGTGCACATGAAGTAGTGTTTTCACCAGATCATTTATTTAAACTCCAAATGTTCTTCCCAACTAACGAAATCTATTTCAGAGCTCCTAGCTGCGTATGTAAAGTGAGGTCTGTTTTTCCTTGAGCAATGCTTTACATTACTTAGATATCATCTGTTACTTATCAGCATGTCATTCAACACCTTGTAATGTCTTTTGAATCCTTCTCAATTGAGCTTCATCTGATCCAGAGAAGAACAAATAAGACAACATAACGCATGCTTGGTTTTGGCTGTCTATGCAGAGAACTCTTAAAAGAAAGATAAGAATGCACTAAGTTGAGAAAATAGGTCTATTAAATGTGATAATGCATTAAGACACAAAGCAAATTAAAGGGAGCTCAAAAAAAATGAGTTTTTACATTTAGGTCTTGTTTTAAAGACTACTGAAGTCTCCCATTTTTCTCTCACTGGGCAGCAGATACACAGGGGGTGACTGAAACAGAGCAATTTTTAAGCCATAGAATGTCAACTACTACAAAGAACTTTGGAACACAAAATAGCATATCATGTGTACATTTGTCCCCTTGAGTGTGAAAGAAAAATTGAGCTTTACTTACGTCACCACAAGAACAGCAAAATCCAGAACGTTCCATGGATCTCGAAGAAAGGTAAATTCATTCCAAACCAATCCCCTTGCTAATACTTTTATCAGTATTTCACCAGTGTATATGGCAGTGAAGAGGTGTCTGAGAAGGAAAACATGTATTAAAGATACAGAAATAAAAACATGAATGAGATTGAAATGCATTCAGGGACATTCTACCTTTTCTGTGATTTAACTACAGGATAGAATCAAAAGTAGAACCAACAGGATAGATTACTTTCATGAGTATAAAAAGATGTATCCCTGAGTTTCAGAGCAATTTCCATGTAGATCTGTGATTACAAATGTTCATCTAAGTATACCATACTATTTCCAGACGAAGAGTAGCTCATACACTCTTATGAAAAATAATGAAAGTCCATATACATGTTCTAAAGCAGGGCAGAAAATACCATGGCTTTACATTTTGGCAGAACTGTAGCAACAAAAGGCATTTTTTTCTGCAAACCTTGGAAAGATTGCATGTTTCATAAATGTATTCTAGCAAAAATTCTGTACCCAAAATAAGGTCTATATAAAACTAAGCAATCATTATCATGGTCCTTACCCCAAAATATGAGCAATTAAAAATATGGAACCTCTGATGCCACAGACACATTTTCAAGTTTTAATTCTGGAATATTCATTCAAGTTAAAGTGGATAAAGGGCACAGTTGCCAAAGGTAAGATGACAGTCTAAATAGATGGCTTCCTACTGTGAGCAGCTGAACAGGGGGCATCTCGGAAACTCCCAAAGGAGGGCAACAAACATGGTAAAAGAGCTAGAAAGCAGGTCCTGTGAGGAGAGACTGACAACACTCAGCTTGTCTATTTTATCCAGTTCTATCTCATCCTATCCTATAGGATATATAGATATATATGGGATATAGAACTTAAAGAACTTAAAGCTGTACAACTTCTCTAAAAGGCTGAAGCCTCCAAAGGAAAGATGGGCCAACCTTCTACATTACACCAGATGGCAGAAGTAGCCAATATGAAGTGCACATGCGTATGCCTCTAAGAAAAAAGGCTGAAGCTCCACAAAGACCAACTATAAAACAGTAATCTCAAATCTTCCTCAGCAGCCTGTCTGAGGGTTTTTGAACACCAGAATTAGCACACCACATCATTTACTCTTCTTCAGTCTCGTGTGTTAGTTTCCTTAGAGTGAAGAAAAGGCAACTGAGATACTTACTCACTTCCATTGAACTCTGATGCAAGCGTATCTATAGCCATGGAGGCACAGTTGAGTATCACAGTCAGTGTAATGAAGCCAACAAATAATGTGAATAATAAGCTAAGGAAAAAGCGCTGTATTATAAAACAGTGAAGTTCAGGAAAGTTGCTTTTAGCAATGGCATGACTATGCACAGAAAGTCAGCCATACTGAGGGATCTATTCCCACAAATGAACAAGTCTAAAGGAAAACAAATATCTGGCAGAAAGAACAGAAACAACTCAGCCTGCAGCTCTGCACCTGCAAGCCTTTATATTTTAACTTCCTTCAAACTATATCTTTTTCCAAATACAGGAGAAGTTGTGCTCAGAGCTGTATAAACGTGAGCCCAAAATATCCTTTTTAGGGAAACACTGGACTCTTTCAGCAAAGCATTGCTGTAATTGCCATTCTGTTTTAATTATGAGGAAGTCCCCGGGTTGTTTTTAACTAAAATTTTAAACTTGTTACTATACTGGAGATTCACAAAGAGTTCTAGCTTCTAAATGTTGTTTCATAACAGCATCTTCAAATCTAACTCTTCTAACACTAAAATGCAGTATTTGTAAATATTGCATCTTGTAAATAGTTTTGCTCTCAGCATGAAAGCCACAATTTGATTAATATGAAGAAAACCACATAAATGTGCACCATACATTCTAAAATTAAAACGACAGAACTCAAGCAAAGGATATGAATGGATCAGAATTTTAATTGCTGCTTTTCTGATTGGATTAAAAGGACCAAGTATACACAAGGCAGGCGTGGCAGTAAACCGGAAAATAGTCCGTCTTTTATTGATCACCATGAAAGTCTATAAAAAAAAAAGAAAAATCATGAAATATTTTAAAGAAATAAAATGATCAAGCAGCTGTGTACATTACCTCCTAGTTACCATAAGGTCCGTTGCAGCTCAGTACTATTGGCAGATGAAGTAAAAATTGTCTCTAATCAAAAACAGCTAACTAACATTCACGTAGATGCCTTTGGAGCAATCAGACTTATTTTCTTTCCATCAATCATTCTGTTTGCTTTGAGAAAAAAAGTCTCTGGAAGGCCCTTTTCATCAATAATTACAAAGCCTGCTTCATGTTCTCTGATTAAACGACCACATTCCAGTGAGTTGCTGGTCTATTTTACAGACAGCGACGTCAGACTGAGTGGAACATTCTGCTCTTCAGGTATAATAATAAGGAATCATACAACAGACATTTAATTTGGAGGAGAATCCTACAGCATCTAATTCACATACTGCTGTAGGCAACAAAGAAAAACATTTTGCAGTGGCATGGAGTATATGCAATCTCAATATTATACAATTAAGAAAGCTGACGAGACATTACAAAGTAACAAAAAATTGATGTTGTCTAAAGCAAATTAATCTTTTTGCTATACAGAGTACTGGAAACATTTCAAATATGCCTCACCTAGTTTGTATATCTGCAATTATGCAAAAGCATTTGCAGTAAGTCAGGGTAACCCACTGTTTGACAGGCACTGAGTTCAGCCTCACATACTTCACAGAAACTCTTCTGAGTAACAAAGCATCAGTTATCTCAGAACCTATTTTTGATCAAAATCTATCCAGTGTATGCTGTTCTCATAATCAATTCTGATTACTGACTGGGCCTTAAAAATACCTTGTAGTATTACACAGTATGGGACATAGGTTAGCATGCCTACCCCAACAAATACCAGTAATGTTCTAAAAAAAAAAAAAAAAAAAAAAAAGCTATCAACAGATCTGTCTGCAATCCAAAAGCAGCAACTTCTGAATACAACCTTCATTATCTCTTAGGAGTATAGCAGATAAAATTAAAAGAAAAAAAAAGTTTATCTATTTATTTATTAATTTTAACCCTGTGATCACTGTAGTATGGATCCAAATCTTCCAGGGGTTCCCCAATAAGCTCCACAGGAACGTCACCATAGAGAGACGGCAGTTTTTTACAGGTTTTCAGATCAAGCTGAGGAGTCACTTTATCCTCTTCAACTTCTTGGTCAGTAGTTTCCTGCTTAAGTTTGGCTTGCTTCTCTTTTTTCTCAGCAATTTTTTTCTCAATTGCTGCCAAGGACTCAGGAGTGAACCGTTGAAAGCTGATAGTTTCCAGTGGCCAAAACAAGGGATCCATTTTCTTTCTGTTTGTTTTCAGTGCTAGAAATAGCTTAAAAGAGAAAGCTCTTGATAAGTAGAAATTAATAGGAAAAGAAAAAACAAGAACAGTAACTAAAACAAAATAGATACATTATTTTTTCCTTCTGTGAAATCCTGCGTGAAAATAAAGAAGGAATTAGAAACACATTCAATTAGAAGAAAGGGTAATGTAAAACAAAACCCATTCCTTCCTCTTTTTCATGTAGGATGCGTCAAAATCACATCTCTATCAGAACTTTAGCAACTGCTGAATTGTTTCTCTGAAACAACTCACAGTATTAGCAACCTCACACTTTAATTTCTGCACTTCTTGCTAACAGTAGTCGCATATCTACCACCCCTCCTGATCCCGTAGGCACACAAAATATTAATTGGAAGAGGCTCATCAGATCCATGCCCTGCTCAAACCAAGGCCAACATTGAGTTTATCACAGTGGAGGTTTGTACAGTTGAGGTCTCAGTACGTCCTAGGAGATATTCACAGCTCATAGTAAAAACCCAACAAGAAATAGGTTTTACCTTAAAGGTCTTGAGCTCAGACTCTCTTCTGATTCTGCTGTAGCTCAGGCTTTACAATTTATGGTGAGAGAACACTTGCATTGTCTATTCATCAGCATTAAAAAAAAAAAATAACCAACCTGTACAACAAACTTTTAAAAACCTTCAAGCTCAAAAAGAAGATGAAGAGTCTGTAAAACAACCAAGTTGCAAACATGCCTCCAGATTTCTGCTGAGGTTTCTCCTGGAATTACTCATTTACCTTCAAAAGGTAAACAGGTCAAAAGGACCCATCAAAAGTGTACGAAAGGCAGAATGCATCACACCACGAAATGCACAATGCTGCTTGATATTGTTTTTCACTAACACTTTGCTGACAGTGAGTCTTGCATACTCTCACACCACACTTAGTAATTAAGAGTCATTTGATACAGTCAGGTACATTAGATAGAGTTCTCAAAATAATAACAATTACAGTAGCATCAGTGATGGAACTGGGATAGCCTCTATGCTGGAAAGCAGCCCTGCTCTGCATGCCAGGGATCTGCATCTCTTCAGAACAAGGCTCGCTAGGAGATGATGTGACCACTGATCAACACTAATGAAACTCCATACAGACTGCTACACAGAACTTAAACAACCGAAAGATAATCATAAAATACTACTTTCCAAGAGCTTCACAGCTGTCTCAATGTTTTGGAGGTGTGCAGTAGTATCTGGAGGTCTTGTTTATGTTTATTTGCTTGGTAACTACTTTTTTTCCCCACATCCTAGAAGAAAGACATTGAATTGCTTTGAACTACCATGATTTTGATTCAAATCACTGACTTGTCTATTCATGCTGACAGGTTGCAGGTGTGATTGAAAACACAGTTCAGCCTCTCATAGCAGCCTAGCAAAAGGTGTACATGAAGAAGTAACTTCATCTTCTCACATACTCACAAACCCTGCTTTTATTCTGGGGTTTAACAGAGTATCTTTTGCTTGAGCTGAAGTCACTGACAAAGGGGTGGGTGGCAAGGCCCTAAAAAGTACTGAATTAATCCAAATCATTATAAATATTTATACACTAATTACACTTGGTCCAAATTCACCGTTATTTCTTACGGTTGCCAGCAATTTACACGACTGCAGTTCTCATCCACAAAAGGTGAAGAAGATTGAGAATCATTAAAGGATGACTTACCCTTTCAGACTCACAACAGAACCAACTACGCCCCCCTATTACACACCTTTGGTCAGCAACAGAGATTTAAAGCACTCTGCATTCTTACTGCCTGAAGTCCAGCTGCACTACCTTACTTTCGTGAGCTCAGCTGTGGCCCATGACAGGGAATCTGTATGCTCTTGTAACTAGAGCCTGCTCCTTTCAATGCACAGGTGTATTTATTTGAAAAGAATATGCCAATGGCTGGCATACTGTGCAACATGAACGACCGTGTAATAATTTCATTTTGGTTTTCAGATTTTTTTCCTCCTCCGGGACTTTAAAAGCAAGATGAGATCTGACCAGGCACCGCAATTCCGAGATCAAAATGTACCATTGTAACAAACTGAAAGCGTATAATCGAACAACTGTTACTGTGCAAAACCACAGGCCCATTTCAATCAATAAACAGAGTGAAAAATCAATATGTTCTTTTCTTCAATTTGTAATAATTCTAAGAAAATTAATTTTATCTTCCAAGAGATTTTAAGGATAACAGAGCAACTGACCTTTCAGATAACTGCACTGACTGCCATAAGTGAAGCAAAGGAAAATTTTTCAGCTAATATGAAGCTGGATTTAACGCTACAGCTTTGGGAACTGAAGGCTGGACCTGCCAAAAGTAGTGATCAAGAGGAAATAAAAAAACCACACATCTCCTTCAGCAGCAGAACTACAAGTTGTAAGCAGATAAACAAGTGGACAAACATTAATGGACAATGTGAGACCTATATTAGCACTGTATTCACATGGAACAACAGAAGTGCTGTCCTTCCATCATCTGCCAAGCATTTGTGTTGCCCTCAGAAATAATGCCAGCCTTTGCATTGGATGTTAAAGTCTCTCACAATTCTGAGAGGGAGGCAACAGAAAATGTGCTCCCAGAAGTAATGACAAAGCAATGGTGGATGGGATTCCTTCTAGAACCTCAGAGAATAGACCAGAGAGTGTAAACTCAAATCAGTGGGGAGAAATCCTAACCACACATTAACCAGAACACGCTGCTAAAGGTAAATACAATGCTAGAATGAAGTCTATTGATTTCCAGTGCAAAGTATTTATGAAATTTCCATTGAATCTAACCCCAGAATTGCAAATCCTATGTTACATTTTGGTATCTCTGGCCCAAAAGTGATTGGTCCACAAGTAACAGTTATAAATGCACTTCAGTTACTGAAGGGTAATAGCCTAAGGGTCAGGAACTCAAAAACATTTAATGGATTTCACTTTTTTTTTTCCTAATTAACTTCAAAAGTACTTGTTTTTCTCATCTTGAGAGAAGGAACTGAATTGATTGTAAATAAACTAATCATGGTTTTAGCTTAAGGCTGACTTTGATGACTATGAAACTTAACAGAGTCTTTTTATGCCATAAGAAAAATCCAAGGAATTCCAGATATACTGATGAAATATATGGCAAAGTATTAGGAACAGATGAAAAAGTAATCAAAGAAAGCAAACGTGTGCTACTGTACTATAATTATCTATTAAAACAAAAACCTAAGACAGAAACTTTCCTTTCAGGACAATATTTTCTAGAATGGCAAATGAGACCATTAATACAGACAGAATTCACAAGTGCTCACGGGGGTAATGACTAATCACTGCAGATAATAACTAATAGATTTAGAGTTTCAGAATGAGATACACACTCAAATTCCATGAAGGGTGTTTTTGATGGAAGGAGCTTTCGAAGTATAGTGGAAAAACTAGTAGGAGTATAAATAGAAAATTGCTCTTATTTGGATTTCAACTTATTTCCAGCATGTATAATATTTAATTCTGATTGTCAAATTATTTCTATCTGCTCCTCCACTTGTAATAGCCCACTGAATATTTTCTCTGAGCATCAGGACATGAAAGAATAAAGGACAAATTGTATTATCTTCTAAATTGGTTTTAACATACATTTAGTAGATTCATTCACAGAAAAATAAGGAATAAAAATGTCTCACTCTGACAGGATTTTGTTTGCACAAAATCAAATAGCTCCATGTTTAACATAGGGCAAGTACCTTAAAATGAGTAAATAAAAGAGCATAACATGAAGCAATACTTACAATGAGACCAACCATCAAAAGGCTGCAACTACTAAAACCCATGCTCCTGCAGAGCCCAATTCTACCTGGACAGACCGGAAAATTGAGCAGAGAGGAACCTGATGAGGTTTAACAAGAGCAACTGTAGATCCTTGCACCTGGGGAGGAGTAACAGTACACACCAGTTCATGATAGGGGCTGACCTGCTAGGAAGGAGCTCTGCAAAGAAGATCCTGGGTGTTCTGGTGGGTAACTGGTTGGCCATAAGCCAGCAGTGTGCCCCTGTGGTCAAGAAGGTCAGTGGGATTCTGGGGTGCGTTAAAAAGAGTGTGGTCAGCAACTTGAGGGAGGGATTCTCCTCCCTCTACTCTGCCCTGGTGAGACCATGTCTGCAGTAACGTACTCAGTTCTGGGCTCCCCTGTTCAAAAAAGACAGGGCTCTTATAGAAAGAGTCCAAGAGTCCAGCAGAGGGTGATAAAGATGATGAGGGGCCTGGAGCATTACCCTCACAAGAAAAGGCTGAGAGACCTGGGTCTGTTCAACCTAGAGAAGATAAGGCTGAGTGGGGATGTCATGAACGTTTATAAACATCTCGTGTGAGGGGCTCAAGTCAATGGGGGCAGTCTCTTTTCATAGCCCAGCAACAGTAGAACAAGAGGCAATGGGCAGAAACTGAAACACAGAAAGTTCCATACTAACACAAGGAAGAACTTCCTTACTGTCAGAGCACTGAACAGCCTGTGCTGAGTTGTGGAGTCTCCTTCTCCGCAGATATTCAGTACCTGCCTGTAAGCCTACCTGTGTGCCCTGCTGTAGGGAACTGCTTAGCAGTAGGGTTGAACTCAGTGGTCTCTAGAGGTCCCTTCCAGCCCCTATAGTTCTGTCATCTTATGATTCTGTACCTTTTTCAGTGCTCATCAGCACTATTTTCAAAAGCTTATTTGGGCACATCTGTGCATTTTTCAATAAATCATTTTTCAGTGACAATGTGCAAAATCAAGTTTTAATAATTCCTACACATAGTTCAGATAATGATAATAACTAAACACCCAGAACAAAGTATTTCCAAGTAATTAATAAAGGTGTACTTAACCACACTGAACTGTGTGCAGCACAGTTTTTGCTGACATAACTAAAAGGCCCACTTTTTAGGCTAACAAAATCAGCAGCCTTTTTAGTACCTTAACAGTATAAAAATAAAAATGCATATAAACACATAGGCCTGATGTTCAGAAACCCAAAGATGTTAGGTTGAATAT